GCGTCCGACGCCTAGATCCGCGACTCGACTCGCCCGATCCCTCGACACGCTTGATGCCCTGGTTGATGACTTCATCTCGCCCGATCCCTCGGACGCGTCCGACGCCTGAATCTGTGACTCCGACTCGCCCGATCCCTCTGCGCGTCCAACGCCTGGATCCATGACTCTGATTCACCCGATCCCTCGACTGTCCCTTGGCACGCCCATACACCTAGGACCGCGCTCCTAGAAACTATGGGTCAGAAACTTGAAAGAGGAGTCTACGCCCACCAAGGTGCACACACACACGCCCGCTGACAAAACCCCCCAGGCGATTCTACCCGAATCACCCAAAGTCTCGGGGGCTACACCCATTGGTGCGCTAGCGTGCACCCGCTGTCGAAACAAAAAATTCTCCTGCTGGCAACACGAACCCCCCCCAGACGATTCTACCCGAATCACCGGGGGCTCGGGGGCTACACCCACGGGTACGCTTGCGCGCACTCCCCGTCAAACCAAAAATCCCTCAAATGATTCTACCCGAATCACCCGGAGGCTTGGGGGTTCCTGTCGGGTTCATAAATTCGGGGTCCATCATGGACCTGCTTCCCAGCAAAAGCTCGGCCTAAAAGACGATGTTGCGAACGACACGTAACTCCTGGGCCAGCCCAAAATACCTAAACGATAGGCCAGAAGGGCGATCCATTCTCCAACCGGAAGGCCTGGCTAAGGAGGAATGGCGCTCGCTTCGACTCCGGCCCGCCTCTCTGACCAAAAGGTCTGCCAAGGAGGAACAACGCTCACCTCTGACTCCGGCCTGCCTCTCCGATCGGAAGGCCTCGCTTCCAACTTTGGCCCGCCTCTCTGACCGGAAGGCGGCTGAGGAGGTACGATGCTCGCCTCCAACTCTGGCCCGCCTCTCCGACTAGGAAGGCTGGCCGAGGAGGAACGACACTCGCTTCCGACTCCGACCCGCGTCTCCGACCTAAGATGCATCGGACCTCTGCTTATAGCTCTTCTCCACTGGCGCAGTCGGAGCCGACTGGGACCAGCCGACCGAAGGGGATGCCCGCTCGGTGAGGACCCAGGAAACGGGCAGAGCAAGTAAGGCAGGGCGCTCAAGTCAAATACAATACCAAGGACCGTACCCTGTACACCTGCAGCACAGTACCGACAGGGCATGTTAGAAAGGTGCCCTGCCACCTTCTAGGTATGTCAGAACTCAAGCAGTGTTGTGGGCGCCGACATTTGCCCTACAATGTTATGGGTGCCCTCAACTCCCATACCAGGTGAACATGGTAAAACCACCCACGATGCCTCTGGCGTCAACAGTGTTGTGGGCGCCGTCATTTACCATACATGGTGAATACGGTAAAACCTTCCACATGCGTCTAACATAAACAGTGTTGTGGGCGCCTACAATCATATTGTATCCAACGGCATGGGCAACAAGACTTAGTAGCATACGTACACTCTCTCTCTCACTTGTAAGGCCGTCCCCTTCATTTATAAAAGAGGATGCACTCTCTCCCAATAAAGACAATCGATACGATCAAGACGATCTGAATGACCAAAGATTCCAACGAATAGAGCACACGCTCAAATACTTAGCGCATGTAGGAGCTCCTGTCTCTCTTGGCCCTTCGGTCCAGAGTCCGACCGGACCTCTTGCACCCCTATCTTTCTCTCTCTCATTTGTAAACCCACAGCAAACTTTGAGCACCCTGTGTCATTGAGTCTTAGGCCACATCCGATCGCAACGTACGGTAAAGCTACAAATATTTACGTGTTAGTCACTTTCTGCACCGACAACATGAGACTTGGCATGACGGCGTGCTTGTGGTCACCCCTAGAGATGCCCTCAGTAGCAGTGTGGAAGCGGTCAAAATCTATAAACATACACGCGACCATGAGAATCGAGCTCACAACCTCTGCGTTCACGCATTCCTTTCTTACCACTCTACCTCAAAAGTCTAATATAATCCTTTTGTAGTCACTTTAACAAATAATATAATACATATTTAAGATCCTAAACAAACTCAAATGAAAAAACTTTAAATTGAAAAGCTTTTTATCTCTTCGAGTACGACAATTTTGGTGTAGATTATTTCTTCATCTTACGTCATTCAAAAAAATAAAAAATGAATTTCAAAATCTATGCATTTAAAATAGAATTTATTTGGCTGATTTCAAATGAAATATTTATCAACCATAAAATTGCAGATCGAGCACTACAACTTTCTTCAGGTCCTAACTCCATCAGAGATAATTTGAAAAGTAAAAAAAACAAATTTCAAAATTTGAAGACTTAAAACAGAATTTCTAGGCCCTAAATGATTTCAAACGAAAAGGTCATCAACTACAATGTTGCAGGTCTATTCAATTACTACAACTTTGATTTAGGTTGTTTATCCATCTGATGTCATTTGAAAACTTTAAAAAATAAACTTTTAAATTACAAAACAATTAAAACAAAAGTTTATATGCTTAAATGATTTCAAGTAAAAAAGTTATCAACCACAAAGATGTAGATCTCTTTGATTACTATATATTTAATTTAGGTCATTTCTCCATCCAAGCCCATTTGAAAAACTTGAAAATTTGAATTTCAAATTATGAAAGCTTAAAACAAAATTTTCTATCCTTAAACGATTTCAGACGAGACGCAGATCTCTTCGAATATTACACTTTGATATAAAATTTGTTTTCATCCAACTTGATTTGAAAAAGTAATGAATTTTATAGTGTTGGACCTATTTTTAGAGGTGATGAGTGGAATTTCTATCTGCCTCTAAAAATGTCTCTACTTTGGGAAGCAGTTGGAAGGCCTAGACACCTCTAGAAATGTCATTTTTAGATGTGGTTCTTGATTGAGCCCCCTCTGCCAAAAAAATGCAAGCGTGTCTAGAAATCATTTCTATAGTATAAGCATGGAATGGGATTAAAAATTTCCATTAGCGATACTCCAAGCTTCAATAAGAGACATTTAGACCACACACCGCTACTTTTAGATTTAGGAATTTATGCACACCATGGTAATAAACAACCATTTAGATTGGAATTATGTTGGTTACTATGGGAAGGGTTCTATAAACATGTTACAAAGGTTTGGAACAATGAACATGAAACAAGAGGGGCTAATTCACTAAAAATGTCAATTCAAAATAAGGCACACACATAATACTTAAGAGGTTGGGAAAATATATAATAGAGTAAAAAATAAGAAAGAAAAAGAAGCAATTAAATATATGATTAACAAACAAAAAGGTATAATTTTCAACTCTTTATCCAAATATACAAGAACAAAAATGGTCAAGTTGTAAACCTAAGCAGAATTTGTTTTAACTCAAATCTATCATTTCAAACTCTGTCTTTAAATAATGACGTGCTTCAATAATAGGTTTGTTGTCAGTGATATTAAGATCATCAACATACACCAAAATAATGCAAAATCCTATTGAGGGTTTCTTGACAAAGACACCTAGGCCATCTTCATTATTTTTGTATCTCTTAAGAGTAAGGAATTCACTTAATCAATTGTACCGCATTTGGCCCAACTGATTCAAGCCATACAATTACTTTTCTAACTTAACATAATACATGTTGCAATTTTCTTTGGAATTTGGTATACTAATAATGCCCTCATGAACTTTCGTGTATATCTCAGAATCCAGAGAGACAATACAAGTACGCGGTCACTATGTCCATCACCTGCATAGATAAATGATTTTGCACTGCCAATGGTATTAAAGATCATAATGTTATGACATTCATTACTAGAGAATAAGATTCATTGAAATCAACACTAGGTCTTTGCGTAAAACCTTGTACCATAAGCTTTGCTTTTATATCTCACCACTTCATTGTTTTCATTCCTTTTACGGACGAAAACCCATTTGTATCCTACAAGAAAGATACCTAGGGGTGTTGGCTATACGGCCGAAAACACTTTCTTTTTATAAAGTGAGGCAATCTTTATTTTAATTGCAATCTTTCGTTTATCCAAGTCCAAGTGCCTTTTGCACTCAACCATATACTTAGGATCCCATGTTGAAGGATGTTTGCAATTTGTTCAGAGAAATAAACATCGACAATTATGGACTTAAGATCGTAAGACTCTCCAGTCTCTATGGAATTAATAGCCGTTGTATTCTCTTGATCCTGAGCAGGCATCGAGCATACCCAATGACGATTTGGGTGAGGACTGATGGCGGCGTGCCCGAGTGGTCGTAGTCGATGACGTAGTTAGAGATGGCGTGATCGACATGAGATAGCCTGACGACAGCATGCCCGAGTGGTCGGAGTCGACGACATAGTTGATGACAGCATGACCGACTCGAGGTAGCCTGACGACGGTGTGCCCAGTAGTCGAAGTCAACAACATGGTCGATGATGGTGTGACATGCTCAAATTGAGCCCGTCAAGGGCATGTTCAAGTAGTCATAGTCGATGATGTAGTCGAAAACGACATGACCTGCATAAGGAGCTTATCAAGGGCATACTCGAGTAGTTGTAGTCGACGACATAGTCGAAGATGGCGTGACTAGCTCGAAGGAGCCCGTTAAGGACATGCTCGAGTGGTCGTCGGCGTTGACGTTGTTGAGAGCAGTGACTGGCTTGGGAGAACCTGTCGAAGGCATACTCGAGCAATCATAGCCTCAATGTAAGAGAAATAAAACATCATAAAACATGTGGGCTATTATGTGCATTTTAAAGTTCTTTTTCAGCGTTTTTGCAAAAATCATGATATCTTTTCAATTCCTTTTTATATGAGGGAAATATTCTCAAAAGATTATAGAAAATATTTCTTTTTAATATTGTTATGCGCTGAATTTGTCTGTTGGCAGTGTTGAAATATCGAACGTGTCCCTCTGGAACGTGGGGCCCACGAGGCGTATCGATCAAGCACCGTCCACTCTCACATCAAAGGCGAAGAAGGCCTCGCCTTCGCCTCCTTCGGCTCTGCGGATAACGGGGGAGGAGGGCGAGCGACGGAGCGAGCGAGCGACGGGACAGGCACCATGGCGATGCGAGCAGCTACGGCGGCGGCGACAGGCTTCTTCTCTCCGTCCTCCGTCTCTCCGAGGCGCTTCTCGTCCGCCACACCGCCGGCGTCACTCTCCACCGGGCGCTGCATCCAGCGCCATCGTCTCCGCGCCTTCCCAAGTACAGTGCTGCTATCCCTCCGTTCCGTCCTTCTGGTGTTCCCATTTCCCATTCCTCTCGCTCCATTCCCTTTGCAGGTTCGGAAATACCTCTGGAGGAACTCAACCCATCCGTCGATCTACTTGTAGGCTCCATCCCTCTCCCTCCCCCCTCTTTCTGTCATCTATTTATCTCCCTGTTATTTCTTGAAACAATCGTTATCCTGCTTATGGACGGACTTTGCATGGTTTTCTTGATTGCAATCTAATGCAGAGGAAAACTGGGGAGGCCGTCGGCGATTTCAGGAAAACGCCAATCTATATTGTTGGTATGCTTCTCAGCTTCCTTTGGAAATTCTTTTGGGGATTAAAAGGCCTCAACCAAACCAATTGCTAGCTACAACAATCAAATTTAGACACAGTTTAAACTGGTAACACAACAAACTAACAAACAATACACTTAGCAGGCCAATAGTGAGGAAACTGCTCGTAAAAATTGGGCTTGTTCTCAATCCAGCCAACATTTTTTAGCCAAACTTTCGCATAGCCCAGGTCTTGGTTATGACAATCTTTCGGGAATAGATATCAATATATGTGATGTGATCTTCCATGTCATTATGATCATTATAATGGTCAGAGTATTTTTAAGTTGCCTAGATACAAATGCCAGGTCAGTATGCATCTAAACAGCACAAGAGAAAACAACTGTCAGATTACGTCGAACAAGGAATGAACCACAGATGCAGCAGTCGGGACTGGCTCAGCTTTCAAAATCCACTGGAACGATGAGAACCAGGTAGGCCTGATATGGCTCTCTGTCTCTCCAACTCCCCTCCCGACGTCCCGCCTCCCCTCAACCCCATGCCGGAGATCACTCCGAGCCCGGCGGCCACCAACCCCGGTTCTTCTCCCAGGACGTCGGTCTCCACCCCCTCCTTGTTCTCTCTGGAACCTTCCTCCCCCCGCACGTGCGGTCGCTCCAAGTAGGAGCGCTGGGGCGACTCCAACCCGGCATCTTCGGACGACGATGGGCCGCCTCCATCCTATCTGGAAGTCCTCCTATCCAACACGGGTCGGGCTTCCCCTAGCGACGGTGCAGTAGGCTCAGGCACGTTCTCGGCGTCAGGCACTGCGGCGGGTTCGGCAACGGGCGCCTCGGCAAGGAGTGCCGCGGCGGGCTCGGCAGTGGGCGCCTCGGCAACGAGTGACGCGGTGGGCTCGGAAGCGGGCACCTCGGCGGCGAGTGCCGTGGCGGGCCGGCCGCCTCTTGACCAGATACCTGCTCTGCATGTAAGGTCGGTTGTGCTTCGCCTCGTTCTGCTGCTGGCTGAGCGCGGCGCTTCATCAGCAAGGCGCAGATGGCCTCTCGTCGACCGAAGGGTGGCAAAGGTTCAGTTCGGCGGGGAGCATCCGGATCGGCGGCGTTCTACTCCTCCTCGCCCGGGTCCTCGCCGATCTTGTTGGCAAGTGCTTCAATTGTTTCTCCACACACACACCGCTACTCGGTGCCATCTGCAGGTGAGGTGCTTCCGCTGCCGCTCCCTGGGACACCGATCCTACGAGTGCCCCGGGATGGTGCGAGGTGGACGTATTCTCCTAGCCCGGCGCAGTGTCATCTGGCGAATCTCCCTACCCCAGAGCTCGCTATCATCGCTTCAAGAAGCGGTCTATCCCGGCGGGCTCGGTGTGTGGTGCGGCGGCTCAAGAATCGGTCCGGCGGCATGATGGATTCGTCATCGATGGCGCCACGCCGATGGTCTTGATGGTCGGCCGGTTGGTCGGCGTCGCCGCCGGCGTCACGCCACCGACGGCGGGGAGGACTCGGCGCCGGACTCATCTCTAGCTTGTTGCTTCAAGACCGGATGTTGCGCCCGCTCTGACGACCATGCAAGATCAAGCCCCTGAGATGCCTCCTCCTTGCATCATCAGTTGGAGTGATCAGGTGGCTCATGCGGAGGAAGACCTTGCACGGGCGGTGGTCGTGACAGTCATCGGCTCTACCCGCTCATGGCCGGCTAATCTTTATTGCGGCGCTGATTGCAAACGAGTTGGAGGTTGAGGCGGCTTCGTTGGTCCTGCGTCGTGCCTCTTCGTCTACCTACCTGCTCTTTCTCCCAGATGCCGAATCGGTGGATCGTCTGGTCAGTCTACGGCACCTTCACGCTCGTCGGAATTCAGCCTTCTGTGCAAACGATGGAGCAGACTGGCTGGCGCGATTGGGAGGACTCTACCGTGCCTAGTCGACATTGAGCTCCGTGGCATTCCTGCCCATGTTTGGGAAACTTCAATAGTGGAACAATTCCTAAGCCCTCATGCTTGGATTGATCACGTGCATTCAGATACTCTTGATTTGGTTGATTTGTCCACCTTTCGGTGCTCGGCGTGGTGCTCGGATTTAAGTTCAAATCCGTGTTCTAAGGAACTATGGGTTACTGAACCCCCATCTGCCATCGTGGAAGACCCTCCAGTGAAGAGGATTCTGGCATATCCCATTGACGTTCATGCTTGATTGTGATTCTTCCCGATGCCCCTCCTTCCAATGGAGAGCGGTGGTGATGATGATGCGAGGAGGGACGGCTCTTCAGCGGCAATGACGTCGTTTCTCGGCTCCTCTGCCGCCCCCTGCTGCTTCGGTCCGGCGGATGGCAGGAGAGACCCAAGAATGGCGCTTTGGGGCGACGCCGCCCAGAAAGTGGAGGCCCCTCTCTCCAAGGTCATTGCGGCTTCGGTCGTTTCAAGGAGGCAGCAAGTGCAACCAAAGCGTCCATGACCATTGCGGGTGCCCCTAAGCGGCAGCCCATCAATGCACCGTGTCCCGGCAAAAAATAACGAGGAGGTGGAGATGGTTGGCGTTAGCGTAAACTTAATTGCGGAAGCCCTTTAGCCATCGGTGGGGCCGAGCCGGACTTTGCGGCCCCTCGACATCTTCTCCCGTGCTTACATCCTTTGTGGTTGAGGAGCAATCAGCCCTCCCCGGTAGTAAGTGAATTGGTTCTGGTGGGAATATTGAGTCAAGCATGCGGTGTCTCTAATGGGCTTAAAAAAGTTGGGCTGGGTGTGGTTTGATTCTGAGGGGTGTGTTGGGCGTTGATGGGGCAACGGAAAGGCCGGCCTCACCACGCCACCCCTATTGTTCGAGGAGGCGACGGTCTCACGGCCTCCCCACAACACCCCCCGCCACCGCCTTTATCTACAATCCAAGTCTTGGCTAAGCGGCTCCGAGTCTATTCAGCGCCGTCTCCGCTCACTGGCGGCCAAGACTCATTGCCGTCGTGGGTCCTCCCCGCCTGCGTGCTGGAGATTCGGATTTGGAAGTTGGAAGAATTGATCCCACGACGGTACGGGGATGTGGTAGCGGCGATGTGAGCTCCATCCTCGGTCTCCTTCCCTGGTGCGGTCCAAGGAGTGGATGACCGCCCCCCCTCAGAAGCGCATCAACCAGGGTCTCCGACCCCCTCTGGCACCCATACCGCAATTGGCTCGGATTTGGGGGGCCCTGAACAGCAGACCCAAGTCCCGGCGTTGTAGTCCCTTTGGCGACTACGCCGGGCTGAGAGTCTCCGTCTTGAAGCCCGAGCTGCCTTCCTCAACGGCCTTGCTCGGTGTCTGATGATGCCCCGCTCCGATGCCGGTAATCAACAAGCGAAGATACAAGTCCCAGTTGTCCGGGGCCACACCGCGTCATAGTCGGCAAACTTCTGTCAAGGCTCTTTGTGGAATTTCTCTACGAATGACCAAGGCGGAGGACGAAGAAGAAGGCAATGCGATCTCTAGGCATCCTTGATGAAAATAAAGGTATTGACCAACGGGCTATAGATGATTATGCAAAATTATTTGGGCAACCCTATCTCGATTCATGACTTCAAGCACTAATCGCCTTGTTTTGTTGGTCCCCGCTCGATGAACTTGGGCGGGGAGGAATTGGAAATGTTGAGTTAATTGTCTGATGCATGGGTGGTCGCCTTTGATCATGTATTTATGGATCCTGCAAAAATTCTAATTTGGAATGTTAGGGGATTAAATTCTATCCCCAGGCAAGACTTTGTACGCTCTATTGTGGACTCAACTCGGTCGGACATTGTGTGTATTCAGAAACCAAAATCAGGTATATCTTGCAGTAATTATACTATCTACCCTAGGCTCGGAATTCTCATACTTTCGTTCTTTGCCCCTCCTGTTGGTGCCAGCGGAGGAATCTTGGTTGCTTGGAGACGACATATTGGTTTTTCCGTAGCTCAACGGGTTGACAATCATAGTGTAACAGTTCAGTTCTCCCCGAAAAATGGGCAGTCTTGGTGGATGACTTGTGTTTATGGACCCCAAGGTAATGAGGACAAAATTCAGTTTCATCAGAATTTACGGATATTCATGCAAAGATGCCGGGACCATGGATGGTGGTGGGGATTTCAATCTAATTTCTGAGGATGAAGACAAGAATAATACCAATTATAACAGGGCAATGATGGGTCATTTTAGGAGGTTTATCAATGATTTGGCTCTTAAAGAGATACCGCTGCATGGTCGCAAGTACACATGGTCAAACCAGCAAAACTCTCCTACCCTCGTGAAACTGGATCGAGTGTTATGTTCAGTTGACTGGGAGGAGAAATTTCCCAACTTCTTGCTTCAAAGTTTGGCTTCAGATGATTCTGATCATTGCCCTCTCCTGCTAGGCCTCCAAGATAATAAACCAGGACAACCCATATTTCACTTTGAATCCTTTTGGACTAAACTCGATGGTTTTCAAGAGGCTGTTGCTTCAGCTTGGACTTCAGTCCCTGCTGGTCCATGCCCTTTTTTAACTCTGAACAAGAAGTTCAAAGCTGTTACCAAGGGCCTGCAGAGTTGGAGTGACAAGGTGGTGGGACAGGTTAGCTTTCAGCTTGCTTTGGCAAGAGAGATTTTGCCTCAGTTCGAAATCGCCCAAGATAACCGTCAGCTTTCCCCTGGAGAAGTTTGGCTCAAGAACAATCTGAAGAAGCACAGCTTGGTCCTCGCATCCCTCAAGCGCACAATGGCTCGATTACGCTCAAGGATCAGCTGGCTCAAAGATGGTGATGCTAATACAAGAATCTTCCATATGCACGCCCGGCACCGGAAAAGGAAGAATTTTATTGGGAAACTTATTTCAGGTGATCGAATTTGCACCAGCCATGAGGACAAGGCTTCAGTCATTGATGATTTTTATGAAAACCTGCTGGGAATCTGTACAGCTAGAGAGCACACAATCAACTTGGCTGATTTGGGAATTAATGCGCAAGACATGTCAGAGCTTGATCTTCCCTTCACCGAAGATGAGGTGTGGAGGACGATCCAACAGTTACCTTCAGATAAGGCCCCTAGGCCGGACGGGTACACGGGTTGTTTCTACAAATCATGCTGGACTATTATAAAAGAAGACATCATGGTAGCAATTTCAGCGGTATGGAGTAGGAAGATGGTAAATTTTGAAGCTCTGAATTCAGCTTACATCACCCTTCTCCCCAAAAAAGAAGGTGCTGAACAACCCAAGGATTTCAGGCCCATAAGCTTGGTCCATAGCTTCGCCAAGCTAGTAACAAAGCTGCTTGCTAATCGTCTTGCCCCTAGGCTGCAACAGATTGTCTCTCCTTACCAAAGCGCCTTCATAAAAGGGCGTTTTATACAGGATAACTTCATGTTAGTGCAACAAACAGCAAGGTTCCTTCATCAGCAGAAGCAGCCCCGAATTTTACTCAAGTTGGATATTTCGAAGGCATTTGATTCCGTATCCTAGACCTTCCTACTTGAGATATTGCAGCAGCTCGGTTTTGGACAAATTTGGCGGGATATAATCAGCGGGCTGCTATCCTCTTCTTCAACTCAAGTCTTGTTAAATGGGATCCCAGGTGACAGGATTGCACATCGACGAGGGCTTCGGCAAGGTGACCCCCTCTCCCCGATGTTGTTCATCCTGGTTATGGATGTATTGGGGCACATGATTTTGAAGGCTGAAAATGAAGGCTTGCTGCAGCCACTATCTAGGCGCAGCTTACACCACAGAATATCCATTTATGCGGACGATGTGGTTATGTTCCTCCATCCAGAAGCTGGTGACATTGCTGTAACCTTGGATATCCTCAATTTATTTGGAGAAGCAACGGGGCTCAAGACAAACTTACAAAAGAGCAATGTATTGCCCATCAAATGTGGTGATGTGGAGCTTGCAGCAGTGCAAAACCTGCTGCCCTGTGCACTCAGCCCGTGTTTAGTTCCCAACCAAAATCCCAAAAAGTGCTACAGTACCCATCACATCGAATCTTTCGATACGTGCATGGAGCATTAAATGTAGATGAAAAAAAACTAATTGCACAGTTTGGTTGGAAATTGTGAGACGAACGTTTTGAGCCTAATTAGTCCATGATTGAACACTAATTGCCAAATAAAAACGAAAGTGCTACAGTAGTTTAAATTCCAAACTTCAACCAACCAAACACGCGCTCACTGACTTCCCATGCAGATATTTGGGACTGCCTCTCGCTTTGAAGAAGCTTACCAAGGCTCAAATTCAGCCTATTATTGACCGTATTGCTGATTAGCTTCCTGGCTAGAAGGCAGATTTGATGACCAAGGTTGGAAGAATGGTTCAGGTTCAGTTTGTGCTTACCGGTATGCTCGTCTATCTAATTATGGCCATCGACTTTCCACCTTGGGCTATTAAAGCAGTGGATAAAATTCGGCGTGGGTTCCTTTGGAGAGGCCGCAGAGATGCAAAAGGAGGGCATTGTCTTATTGCTTGGGGTAAGGTTTGTATCCCTAAAGAACTTGGGGGTCTAGGAATTTCAGACCTTAAATCCCTTGGCTGGGCATTGCGAATGAGATGGGCCTGGTTACAAAAAACAGAACCATATCGCCCATGGGCTAATCTTCCAATTCATGTGCCAGATCAAGTTAGAGCCTTCTTTGCAGTGGCTGTTTACTCCGAAGTTGGGAATGGAGCGAACACCCTTTTCTTGACAGACCGTTGGCTCCATGGCCAATGTATCGCAGATCTTGCACCTCGTCTTTTCGCCGCTATCCCTAAAAGGAGGACCAAACAACGAACTGTCCAGGATGCCCTTACCAACCAGACTTGGATTTCTGATATAAAAGGGGCTCGCACGGTCGGTGTAATGGTTGACTTCCTCCTCCTTTGGGACGTCCTGTCTGATTTCTCTTTGCAACCGGGTGTTGAAGATAGGCATATTTGGCGGTTTTCCTCAGATGGAAAGTATTCGGCCAAGACTGCATACAAGGGATTTTTTGTGGGGTCTATATCTTTTGAGCCCTGTGAAAGAATTTGGAAGACCTGGGCGCCGCCCAAATGCCGCTTCTTTGTTTGGTTGGTGGCTCACAACCGTTGTTGGACAGCGGATCGCCTTGCACGCCGTGGACTACCTCATCCTGAGCACTGCCCTTTGTGTGATCAGGCTGCAGAAACCATTGATCACCTCTTAGTTCAGTGTGTCTTTGCAAGAGAATTCTGGTTCCGCTTCTTTTCTCGGATGGGACTCCAAGCCCTTTCCCCGCAGTCCACAGAAATATCCTTTCACTCGTGGTGGGAGAGAGTAAACAGTGCTGCTAGTGACATGGCAAGGAAAGGAATCAACTCTCTCGTGATCCTGGGAGCTTGGACCTTATGGAGACACCGCAACAGTTGTGTTTTTGATGGTGCAGCCCCAAGTGTTGCAGGCGCTCTTGCTGTAGCGGAAGATGACAGAAGGTCGTGGTCTTTGGCGGGGGCTCGAGGATTATCCCTCTTGGATGCCCTCGCTCCGGGTGGTTAGCGTCCTCTCTCTCTCTCTCTTTTGTGTCTAAGGCGCGTTAGCTTCCTAGTAGCAGCAGCAGCTGCTGCACTGTGTTTTGTGTGTGTTGTGTTGTATGGGTTCTTACCCCCCCCCTTTATTATCTTCTTAATACAACAAAGCGCAGTTCTCCTGCGTTTTCGAGAAGGAAAAAAACTGTCATTGGTGTGAGGACATTGTTGAATTCTAAATCTCAGCAGTTTCTTCGACTACCACAATTTACAGCAAATGAATGTCTTCACTAGACAAGACAGAAGACAAGTTGCCAAACTTTTTCTAGTTGAGTGTCCAATTCCTTCTGCTGTCATGGTGTTCCAACAGTTATGGTTGATCTCCACTAGGATAGGGATTTGTTGTTGCCTAGCTAATTAATTGTAGTCCCACTCCCAGCCTGCAGTTTTCTGCCAAACTAGTTGAGAGAAAAGGTAGATTGCTGTGAGGGGAAGGGCTGTTTCTTCCTGGTTCCTACAGAGCTTGCAAAACTGATTGACATTACAACCCTTGACAGTAGCTAGCTTGTCCATTGTGATCACTGTGTTCTGCAGTAGGAGCCACAGTTGTTTTCAAACTTGCATTGTGTTTGTTTTCAACCTATGACATCCAAATCAAAAAGGGCGTACCCATTGCAGAGAGCTCCCGCTCTGTGCGGGGTCTGGGGAAGGGTGTTAGTGGCAAGCCTTACCCTCGCCTGTGCAATGCGAGGAGACCGCGAAACGTTTGTGCCTTATAAGCTGATTTGCGAGTAGTTGCCATGAGCAGATGAGCTCCAGGATGTCATCTCCTCTTCATGTGTTAATTCTGTGCCTTGAATAGGGGACCAAAGGTTTAGCAGAATGCTACAATTGTTGACGGGATGGCCCTTTTCATCCAGGTCTGTTCTGAAGAGCTCTGGTGCAAGCCTGCAACCTTCCAAGTTTTCCTCTAGGCCAAGATGTACACTGCCTGTGCAATTTCTTTCAAAGTGCCATGTCCAGCCTGCTATTCTAAATCTGCTGCAACCTTCATGCTCATGCATGAATTTAACCAGGGAGCATGACAGCAGTACACTTCCTTGTCCACCTGTGCCTCATCATGGAGTGTGTTCATTCTGATCCATGTTATTTTTTTCCATCTGAGTTTACTAGAACCATGACATCTCACTCTAATACTCTTTGACATTTGGGGGGTGCAAAAACAAATAGGCCTAGTCCAGGCCAGTAAGATGCTGACACTAACTGGATTCTTCCTTCGTGCATAGGCACGGATTGTACAGCCAAGCGCAACATCGCCAAGCTGCTCGCGAATTCCATAATATACCGCTACCTCTGCAGTGAGGAACTGCTTGAGGATGTTCTTGGTGGCAAGGACGCCCTCAGAGCCTTCAAAGAATCTGATGAGAAGGGCTATCTTGAAGTCGAGGTACTTTCCTTCTTTCTCCCTTCCTCCTCTATTTTTTTACTAGTTTTCTTGCTCGAAATGTTACTGCCCCTACATTACCTAGGACTAATTTTCCATTCTTCTGTCTCGCTGCTAGACCGAAGGGTTAAAGCAGCTCACGTCCATGGGTAGCCTTGTGTTGTGCTGTGGGGATGGCGTTGTCATGAACTCAACCAATCTGTATGTATGGATGTATCTCCATTGTCTATTATTTTTGTCATGCATGTTAAGTTATTAGTTAAGTCTACTGATGCTGGTGTTTATTATTTAATGGACCTCCAGAGGGCTGCTGAGGCATGGTGTCTCCATTTGGATTGATGTTCCTCTTGAAATGGCAGCAAATGATATGCTGAAGAGTACGGGAACACAAGCTACTACGGATCCAGACTCTTTTTCTCAGGTTACCCTATATTTCCGATAGCCGGTTGTTTGATGCTCTCAATGGATGTGACCCCTGACTGAAATTCAAGTGTTATTTGTGAAACATGCTGCCACGTCCTCTGGATAGTTAGTTATTAGCATGTTTATCTTTTAACTTGACCTTACTATCTATCTACATGTGTAGGCGATGAGCAAGCTCCGTCAGCGGTACGATGAACTGAAAGAGCGCTATGGAGTTTCTGATATTACTGTTTCAGTACAAAGTAAAGAATAGATCCTCAAACCGCCTTTCATTCCTTTTGAGTTACAGTTAATAAATGGTAAATATTTAGAATCGGGTGTAACTTTTTTCTGAGATGCCTCAACACCTTTCAGGCGTCGCTTCTCAGCGGGGGTACAGCAGCGTTGACTCGGTCACACTTGAGGACATGGTCCTTGAAGTAAGTCAGCAACATTTTATTTCTTTTCAGACCACATATGTCTTCATTTTGGACAATTAGGCACAGCACTTTGTAGCTTCTGAATACAACTGATTTTAACATTTGACACATTCTCACGTAAATTTGTTTTCTTCCCAGATCGTGAGGCAAATCGAGAAGCTGATCCGAGCAAAGGAGATGATGGAAGCTGCAGGGAGGCCCTTCTAATCTAAACTAGATACACATACACAATATTTTTGCTCCGGCGTACGTATTTTCTCTCCAGTTGCCCGAGCTCCGATGATTTGGCTATTCAAGAAACTGATTGCAGTTGCCCACGAATCAAAGCACAAGCGCGTGAAATCTAAGGAGCTGAAGCTCGTTGTTCCACTCGAATATGCTTATATTGTATTGCAAAATCATTTGCCATTTGATAGTGCAAATGCATTACGTGTTAATCTGCCATGGTTGAATTTACTGTCTATTGGAAATGTCAGTTTTGATTTGGAGAATTTTATGAAAGGATGAGGAAAATTTGAGGATGCTTTTACAATGAACATGTTGCAATGCTAAACGAAGGATTTTACAGGATCTCGAGTGATTTACTGGATTCAGTTTGGACTTACATGGGAAGAGAGATTTCGTCTTTTTATCAGAGATGACGAGGGACGAAAGAAAAAAAAACAAGCAATTCTCTTGCCCATTTGCTGGCTGAAACTGAAAGAAAGCCAAAAAGCCTCTCCACGCGTTCGCACGCGCGCTGACGAGGCGAGGCGGATGCATGGTGGGGCCCACGTGCAGCCTCACGAGCCGCGTCACACGCCCCGGACCGGATGGGGACTTCGGCTCTATTACCAGACGAGGAGGAGAGACGAGATCCATTCCCAATTCCCAACTGCAGCAGCTGCGCCTCGACTCGTACCCCGAACCCTAGCTAGCAGCAAGCCGGAGGCGGAGAGAGCAGCCATGGCGCGGTGCCTCGCGCTCGTCGCCCTCCTCCTCCTCGGCCTCGCCGTCGCCGCCTCCGCGGCCGACGCGCCCTTCGTCGTCGCGCACAAGAAGGTTTCGCTCTCCCGCCCCAAGCCGGGCGTCGAGCGCGTCGCCGTCTCCCTCGACCTCTACAACCAGGGATTCGCGTGAGTACCGCAGCCCCCCACCGCCGATCCGGTTTGTTGCTTGTGGTAGTTTCGGTTGCTCCCGGGATCTGATCTGACTCGGTATGCCTTTCTTTCCTGGGTGATTTGAACGCGCCTCCACTTGCTTGGATCTGCGTCGTGCGTTGAGCGAGTGATGCGAGGTTTCCTTCTTAAACCTTAGCCGGGGATTTAGTTTTCCATTTTTTTTAATCGTATAGGTCCGCTAAATCTGAATGATAGATTTGTTTAATTGTGTATGAGAAGCGAAGAATTGATAATTTTCAACCTTCGCTTGCTCTTCTGCTTTTATAGATCCCCAATTCTCCGAATCCCTTGCTGGAAACGGGAGCAGACTATTATGCCCTGTGTCCTGCGCTTGCTCTTAATTGACTGCTAGATCAAGAGTGCTGGCCTTGCTCTTAATTGACTGCTAGATCAAGAGTGCTGTCCTTGCTCTTAATTGACTGCTAGATCAAGAGTGCTGTCCTTGCTTTTAGATCAAGAATTTGTTGTCCTCAATTGCGAACTAATCAATGATTCTCGTGCATATTCGGCGCATGCTAATGGTTGTCTAGCTAAACAACCAATAAGGCCAACGTATCAATCACTCCATCCAAATCACTGGTGCTAACTTGCATGTACTAGTTGTGTCACAAAGAAAATGTTCATAGGGTCCATGTGGAACATTGCATCGTCTATTTTGTCTTCTGCATCTTACTAGAACTTTTATGTTGTCATCATGCAGATGGTTAATGATATCTTTATTTGTAATGTGTTTTTGCATAAAAGAGAGCTTTGCAATTTATTTCATACAGAAATTAATGCATTGTCGGTTTCCCAAGGAGGTTACTCTTTGGTCCACACTTCAAAAGGAAATGAACTTTCTATTTATTCATAGAACTGCGTATCAAGTTTGCTTTGGGTTTAAGACAATTGGTACCTTTGCAGAGCATGCATTCTATTTTTACCAGTCATTTTGTATGGGACATCACAATTTGTGTTCCTCTGCTTACCTAAAGATATCTTTTTGTTCCAATATATCCTGTAGTGTCACATGCTTATAGTATATATCTGGCTAGATCTGGAAGCCAAACACATGACTTTTGGACTAGTTGGTTATATTAAACATTAAATCGCCTGATAAAGTGACCTAGAATTTTTACTATATGTATATGCACAGTGGATTTACTCCCTTTGTCCTACAACAATTGTTGGTATCACCATGTGCTACTGATTTCTGTATGGTTCCAGTAATACTTGATGTGCTCGAATTTGGTATTTTTCTTGATTTGGATTCATTGCATGATGTATATGTGTTCCTTTCTGTTTCATATGATGGCAAATCAATCCCATATGTTCTCATACCATCTGCATGGATTTATTGTAATACCTATTGTAGGACTGCCTATGATGTGTCCATTAATGACGACTCTTGGCCAACAGAAGTGTTTGAGCTTGTCACTGGAGAGAAATCGAAGACTTTGGAAAGGCTTGACCCGTGAGTACATTTTGTGATGCATATCTCTGCTTTATGTGTTCATGTACATCAGTACAGAAAATGATTTCATTACTTTGACTCTTTCAGTGGTGCCACTGCATCACACACATATGTCCTGGAGACCAAAACACAGGGCAGGTTCCAGGGTTCACCAGCTATTATTACATACCGTGTTCCCACAAAGACAGCTCTTCAGGTTTCCCCCCTTTTACCTCTACTGTACATAATTGAGTAGTGTTTCTTATGTTATGCTTATGCATCTTGTATTATCTTCTTATTTTCTACATCGCTATTGCTTGACCTGTGGTATTTAGCTAAATCAATGTTTTGTATATGTTGAAGGAGGCCTACTCAACTCCCATCTTCCCGCTGGATATTCTCGCTGAGAGACCTCCAGAGAAGAAGTTTGAATGGGTAAGTAATCACGCCATTGCATGCACATCCTAGTTCATGTTTCTTTCTGATACTGATGTTTGGATGCTGTTTCTGGTGCTACATCCGCATGGAAATCCAAATATGCTCTCATACTATGTTCAGGCTAAGGTATTTCTTTCTTTCCTTCTGCTTTGGTCAATTTTCCTAGCTCATCTAAATAAGCTGCTCAGGTAGATTTTAGCATTCATTTGAGCTGGACACTAACCAAAAAAATTTGTTATCCACGTGCAGAGGCTTGTGGCGAAATATGGGTCACTTGTGTCTGTTGTCTCGTTTGTTGGACTGTTTATCTACCTCGTTGCGACCCCGTCGAAGAGCAGCTCAAAAGCAAGCAAGAAGAGACGCTGATCTACTTATAGGTCACAGTTGACGGTGTAGCTGGTGGTTTTGCCTGGAGGAACTCTTGGTAGTTTGAGCCGAGCGAAAGCTTTTCAAGTTTACATTTACTTACCACACCATGAACTGCAACGAAGTGAGCATCAGTTAGAACAGGGGACCTGTAATTTTGGTTGGTTATTACTTTCTGTTTCTGTCAGACTTAACTCGGAGGACCTGTAACTAGGAAAGTTACTTTTGCTTGAAAGAACATTTTGATATATGATTGTTGTTTCTGTGCTTCGTGCGTGGGTGTGTGAATTTGAGAGCAACAATTTGGTGGGACGCTTTCAGGTGACAATGGTCATGACATAGCAACTGCTGATGATCTGAACCTTGCATGTTGGAGATCACATTAAACTGCTTGTGTCTTTCGCTGCGCTGCATACCATCGTCAGCTTCATGGTGTGGTGTAGGATGAGGTTCAGGCACTGGAGTTTCTAATGATAGTGGTCAAGAAGCTGTTGTTATCTCATGGCTGTCATTTCGACATCTACAATTCTAATCACCAATTCAAAGCATCGTTTCTGTCGGATCAAGATTCCATGAGAAGATTAATCAAGATTCAAGAGAGAAACATGTTCCAAAAATAATTGATGTTGCTACATACGTGATGTGAGAGAGCGCTATTTATTTTGGTTTATATGGTGCTTCGGTTTTGCATAGCTCAGAAACCATCTCATCCACCGAACTGCGCAAAATAGGAAACTGAAGCCGAACCGACAAACCAAAAAAACCGACATTTCGGTTCGGTTCGGTTCGGTTCGATGTGTGTTTGGCTAAAATGTGCCCACTCTGAATATTATGTTATGGACACAAATTTATGCATAATAAGATTTGTGGACAAAACAATGATTACATACATATTAGCATGCAATGTAACATCCTTAAACAAATTTATGCACGCAATATTTGTGAAATAAATACATAATATTTATGGATAAAATTAGGCACGGATAGTGAAACAAACACAAGATTTATGAACAAAATTATGTTATACACAAGACGTGTGAAACAAAATTGTGCACACAAGATTTGTGAGTAAAAATTACACATAAAAAGACTTGTGGAAAAAATATATGCACATGAGATTTTTGAACATAAGATTCAAATCAACTAGATCAGAAGAAGATATAAAACTTAAAAACAAAAAAAAAGTAGAAAAAGAGAAGGAAAAAAAGCAAGCACGGCAGCGTACGGCAGCTAGCTAGCACAGGAATGTGAAATTCGGTCGTGGTCGGGGGAATGGTCGCCCAACTGAATTTGGGCTGCTTTGCTCCCTTCGAGAGCCCAATTTCACCCAGATGGCCCATCAGAACCAGCCCACTCCTCCCGCAACCTCCCTCAGTCTCTCGTTCGTTCCAATCACACTGACACGACGGTCCCACCACTCATCGGACGGTCCAAACCAGCCGCGAACCCCATCTCCACCGTCCGCCCTAGGGTAACCCTCCCCAAAGCCCCCGCCACACACTATATAACGCTCCCTCTTCTCCCTCGTCCAACCCTAGCCGCACCGCACTCATTTCCGCATCCCCCTCCCCCTCCCCCTCCCGCCGCGCCGCCGCCGGAGAAGATGGGTCGCGTGATCCGCGCGCAGCGTAAGGGTGCGGGGTCCGTGTTCAAGTCCCACACCCACCACCGCAAGGGCCCCGCCCGGTTCCGCTCCCTCGACTTCGGCGAGCGGAACGGGTACCTCAAGGGCGTCGTCACCGACGTCATCCACGACCCGGGCCGCGGCGCGCCGCTCGCCAAGGTCACCTTCCGCCACCCCTTCAGGTACAAGCACCAGAAGGAGCTCTTCGTCGCCGCCGAGGGCATGTACACCGGCCAGTTCGTGTACTGCGGCCGCCGCGCCACGCTCTCCATCGGCAACGTCCTGCCGCTCCGCGGGATCCCTGAGGGTGCCGTCGTCTGCAACGTCGAGCACCACGTCGGTGACCGTGGTGTCTTCGCCAGGGCGTCCGGGGACTACGCCATCGTAATAAGTCACAATCCTGACAACGGCACCTCGAGGTCTGAACAGGATCACCGTCCTTCCTTTCTCTATTTCATCCATTCGTATGATGAGATCTGATGTTGTCGTGGAGTAATTATATCACTGAATCTGATATGAGATGGATCCATGGTAGCATTCTTCAAAAATGATTTAGCTCTGTTCTTAAGGCTTGTACTTATGCGCGCTAGATTTGGTTTTTTACAATAATGCAAAATTGTTCGGTATGTGCAGTAGTATGGTAGATATCATCTACCTGTCGGTGTTTTTGATATACGTGATTCAGTTTTACGTTGTTATGGTCTTGTAGGGATGTAAAATTTAGTTTTTCTGTAGGCACTTGTAGCTGATTGGTCGCAATGTGCTGCAGATAATCAAATAAACACCTTAGGTTGGTCAGTTCTGCAATGGCAACATTGTATATGTTGTGATTATTATTGTGCTCCTTTACACATCTCTATTATATATCCTGATGATATTGTAAGCTGTTTCTCATATTGTGATGTCAGCCTTAATATTACATTTATGTTTGAATATAGTTGCAGTGTTTTTCTAATTGAATACCCTGTAGATATACAAATCTGGGAGCCTACCTTGTTGATGTCCTAATGTAGTTGCCTACTTGAATGTCTTTCATTAGTCAGTGTATTCAAGTGACCTTTTGTTATTTGTCTGCATACTTAATTCCCCAATAAGAGAGCCTAATTCTGCTCTGTTCTTACAGGATTAAGCTACCCTCTGGCGCCAAGAAGATTGTCCCCAGCAGCTGCCGTGCCATGATTGGGCAGGTCGCTGGTGGAGGCAGGACTGAGAAGCCAATGCTGAAGGCTGGTAACGCGTACCACAAGTACCGCGTGAAGAGGAACTGCTGGCCCAAGGTGCGAGGTGTGGCCATGAACCCCGTGGAGCATCCCCACGGAGGAGGTAACCATCAGCACATTGGTCACGCCTCCACCGTCCGCCGTGACGCTCCCCCTGGCCAGAAGGTTGGTCTCATTGCCGCCAGGAGGACCGGAAGGCTCAGGGGCCAGGCTGCTGCCACTGCCGCCAAGTCTGACAAGGCCACCTAGAGTTATCGTCGTTCTTGTTTATCAATCTCTCTGCTATGCTTTAGATGGTTAAAGGACATGAGTTTCAGTATGGATGTGTTGTTGCCTGGTACTATGGTGAAACATTGTGTCAGTTTTTGTGGTCGCTGTCTGGATTTGCATTATGCCTAAAGAAGTTTACTTGGATGATTTGGTGCTAAATGATATTGGCCAACTAGGCCCTGGTGCTATAATTAGTTTATATGCCTCTTTGCTTTGTTTAATTATTGTAGAATTGTTGAACGGATGTGTCTCAGATCGTGATTTCTTTGTTGCTGGAACGTTGATAAGACATGCTTTTTGGGGCTGGCTTTTGTCAAACTTACAGAAACACTATTTTCAGATAGTGCTGAGGCAATCACCAAGTATTTTTCAGTATGATGTATGATGATGTCTACAAGAGAAATTAGCTCTGACTAGAGAGCATCATTCTTTGCTTGCACGGTTAGAAATAAGCAGTTTGCATTTCAGGTTGTCAATCTTGTGCCCAACTCGGTGCTGAGGTGATGCAATATGTTGATACATCATTGTGACTTTGAGCCTGAGAAATTTCACCAGCCGCAAGACCTGATAGGTTAACCTTGAGTTGAAGTACTTCCCCCTCTCAAATTGAAACCCCTAGAATCACATTTCGTTAACTGTTTTTACACCCACGCAAGATGATATTTGAAATCATTTTGCTTCGTAGCATATCAGTATGTATTGGTGATCTTGGTAAAACACTAAATTGCTTGTATACATGTTTATCTGCAATGCTTTTGGCTGTGTGATGCCTCACCCTTTTATAAATGGTCAGCTTATAACCGACCGCAAAATTTGTCCTCGTGATGTTTTGGATTGAAAAGTTTTCAAGTCTACCAACTCGTGATGTTGGAGCTGCTAAAAAAGGGGGTGATATGGAGAGTGGGATCAGGTGATACAATCAGAATTTGGGATGACCCATGGCTGCCGAGGGGATTGACTCGAAGACCCATCACTCCAAGGGGACAAAACCTGCTCACCTATGTCAATGATCTGATCAACCCAGACAGAGCATGGGATAAGGAGTTGGTGTTCCAGACTTTCTGTGGGAGGAGGACGCAGAGGCCATTTTGTCTATCCCGGTGCATGTAGGCATGGACGAAGGCGATGTAGGCATGGTCGAAGGACGATGTCCTAGCACTGTTGTCACTGGTTTGGTTTGTATTTTTGAAACCAACCAATTAACAGGTCATATGATGGAAAGGGCATTTTCTCTGTCAAATCATCATATAAGTTGTTCCGCGATGACATTCAAAGGCAGAGTCCAAGAGGAAGTCCGTCCACAAGTGATCAAAAGGGGAGTTGTGAGGAAAAATTTGGAAGCTGAAATGTCCGAATAGAATAAAACAATTTTTTTTGGCGAATGGCTACAAATTCCTTGGCCATGTGCACAAATCTGAAAAGAAGGGGCATGGATGTGGAAACAGATTGCTTGGTCTGCCATCGGATGGATGAGGATGGTGAACACCTGTTTTTCAAATGTAAATATGTAAAACAGATATGGCGCCAAATGGGGCCTGACCGCCTGACAATATAAGAGAGAAGCTGAAGGATCAGAGGTCTGTTATGAATGTAGTTGAGCAAATACTGATGCTGGATCGGCCAATACAATTAAAAGTTTTGTTCCTTATGTCGAACTGGTGGAATGAAAGAAACCGAATCAGGGGAGAAAAGAGAAGAGATGCTTCTGACCTAGCTGCATTATCTAGCAGGCAAGCCGAGGAAGTTAGAGTGCTGCATGAAAAGCCGAGTATCCCTGAGCAGGCTTGTGCTTTTAGAAAATGGAAAAGACCCACATTAGGATTTCTCAGTTAATGTTGATGGAAGCTTTGATGCAACGACAAAGAACGGAAGGTGGGGATATGTGATCCGTGATGAGAATGGAGAAGTTATCCGAGCTGACGCTGGACGATCTGAGTATGTTTATAATGCAAAGCATTCAGAACTTTTAGCTTGCTTTCAGGGCGTTAAATCTGCACGTGATGAAGGGATAACAAAAATCGATCTTGAGACTGATGCTTTCAGGTGAAGCTAGCATTACTGTCAGCAGATCACCGATTGGCAGTCCTAGGAGGCCTAGTACACGAACTGAAAGAAATGCTACTGGAAGATTTTACCTCATCAAGAGTAGAGCATGTTCCTAGAGAATGTAATCAAGTAGCTCATGAGCTTGGGCTTCCTATCAGCTAGGACATGATTATGTAGCACATGATGTACCTGGTTGTATTATGGGTTTGGTGGGCAGCGATTTAGCTGGATTACTGGTTTAATGGAATCTCACTGGTTCCTCAAAAAAAGAAAAAAAAAGATTAAAACTCATCTCAGAAGCAGCAACGAACCAGTTCAGTGGCGCCAAACACAGCAAATGGATGATACAATTTCTCAGGATCTTCAACGATTTAGAGCAGAAACATAGTGGGTTGCACCTAATATTAATAAGTTCATAACAATTTTTCCAAATAAGTTCATAACAGCATCAACCATTGCAACACTTAAGCAGCAGGTCCAGGTTCTACTTCTACCTGTCATCAAGACGACAGTTGCCTGTTTATCAAACCACGCCATACACTTACGTCCTGTTCGCTTGAACTTATCAGCCGTACCGTTTCAGTGAAATAACAGTGTTTTTCTCTCACAACAAATCAGCATCAGCGTCAGCCGTTTTTCCACCCAGTCGAACAGGGCCTTAAACCAGAGCAAGTTAGCGGCTAGCTTCCTTGTGCCTACCTGAAACACTTGTCAAACCAAAATTTTCTATTACCCCCGCACCTACAGACTAATTCAAAAGTAAAGGGGAGGCAAACTCTACAATGCAAAGCCCCTATGGCTAACTAAGGGCTTGTTTAGTTCCTTATTTTGGCCAAAACTTTTACTCTTTTATCTCATTTTTTAGCAAAATGGATCTAAACACCATAGACAAAAACAACAAAACTTATGCTACAAAACTTTTGGTATTTGGAACCCAAGAGGCCCAAAACTAGGCAAAAAAACGTTTTGAGAGCGCGTATTGTGTCTGCATGGCTAAAGTTTTGCCATGCATCTAAATACCAAATGACAAAAATTTGAATGGTAAAAGTTTTACAGCAAAAGATTTAGGGCAAAAGTTTTACCATTCCAAAAGCATCAAAACACCCCCTAACTAATAAATTACTTTCCCTGTGAAAAGTCCACAATCCCGAGGGGACTGGACTTCCCAAACTAGCACTAGGCACTAGTCACTTGACAGACATGGCGACCACTACGCCGAAGAGCAGGACAGCTACATTAGCCACGAAGAACCACTTCACAATGGCTTTTGCCCAACGTGCGATCGAATCAGTCTTCGCGACCTTCTGAACCTTGTCCCCAGCACCAAGCTTGCCCTTGAAATCTTGAATGTCTGTCTTCAGCTGGGCGATGGCCAACTTCTGCGCCACCATCTCATGCTTCAGATCCTCCATATAGCAGCGACCATCTCTGGGATGCCCACTGGCTCTGGTATGAGGAAGCCACTCGGCGCTGGTATGAGGTAGCCCGTCCCCTGCCCCTGCTCTGGAGTGGCTGCAGGGCCAAGCAAGCCTCTATCCCTTAGGATCGCTACGTATTCCTCCTTGGTTTTGAAGAAGGAGCAGCCGCCACGCACCTGAAACAAATGGCAACATATCATCTTTTTTTTTTCTGAGCAAGTTGACTGCCCAACTCCCAATCGGAGGGTATTGAGAAGGATTTTGACTTGTCAGGGATAAAATTCACCTCAATCCTCTCCAACCCCTTTGGATTGGGGATCACCCGAACAAGCCCTCAGTCCCCTTGGATTGAGGATTAACCGAACAAACCCTAGTGGTACTAAAATATTCACAAACCATATATATTCACCTCTTTGTGTAGTGTGAGAGACAGCAACCAACGAACCCTACATGCTTTTTCACATGCACCCGCCAATTTAACTGAAGCTAGCCCTTGATGGCAGTGGCACCTAACAAGCTTACACACCAAAACTGAACTACAAGATCTTAACATTTTTTTTTCAACAGTCGGGGGCGGTTTAATCCGCAAGCCATTATTTACTTCTCTGGTAAACAGATAAAAATCTCAGCCACTCTTCAAGGTGACACTGTACCAAGAATCGAAAACCTAAAATGGCAGATCGGATCCGCATGTACAGTACCGTCGCCCCCCATAGCCATAGAGGTAGAGGGCACAACCAATATGCAGACACAAAAACGAGCGAGCAAGATTTCCTTACCCCGGTCTCGTTCCGGCGGCAGCTTGAAGGATTTCCGGTTATAGTTCCTCCGAGTCCCGGAATGTACTCCTCCACAGCATCGCCGCACTCAGGGCAGGGATCAGAGGCAATCCCGACCAAATGCCCAACGGCGGCAGATCTGGTGTCGGCGTCCCGCCCGGCGTCGCCATCCCGCCGCGGTGGCTGCCCGCGAAGGAATCGCTGGGGGTCGGGGAGCGACTAGCTGGAGACCGCGAGGTGGGGGAAGACCAGTGAGTCATTGGCATGCCATGCACGAGTGGGTGTGGAGGAGCCGTTGAATTATAAGACTTGAGGCCCCCTTCCGTAATTTCACCACACGAACACGTTGCTGCTGTTAGTTGGAAAGTACAGTCCGGTATTAATGCCAGCAGTAGATCGACGCACACAGCTGCCGGTTATGAAGTGAATCATTTTTTAAAATACCATTTCGGCTATTCTGCAACACAACCGTTAATGTGAAAATGGTTCACTTGAAATTATCAGTCGGACTTATTAGTCATAGTACATCGTTTGTCTCTCGTAACAAAAGTAGCATTATTTATCAGCCGTAAAAATCATCAACCAAACAGTTCCATTATCTTAGGACTTGAACACAGGATCACTAGTTTGGCCCTGGTCGCTTCAACTTATTAGTCATATCGTTTCCACGAAATAACAGTGTTTATCTCTCACAATAAATCAGCATCAGCCATTTTTTCAACCAGCCGAACATAGGCCCTGTTCGTTTGACTAATAAGCCATGGCTGGAAGTATTGTTGGCTAATTTATTGTGAGAGAAAAATACTGTTCGTTAGCTGAAAAAATGCGGCTTATAAGCCAAGCAAACAGGGCGATAGCCTTTATCTTAATTAGGACACCTAATTGACTTTAGGGACTCGGGGTGTACATAATTGAATCATATTTTTCAAATATTCATTGGAGGATGAGGGTTTAACTAGAATCAACCAAACAAAAATTATGTGTGATGTTTCATCTGACATCAAATAAAAAAAATCTCGTGAATATTGATGATATATGCATTGCTTTCTTTCTTTCCAAAACTTACGCATTCGCTTAGGGCGTCCCCAACTATTCCCAAATAACTACTCTAGGAAGAATTCTATTGGCTATCAAGGAGAGAGATTAAATAGCCAGTGACTCTCAAATAACCTGTCTAACACGATCTTCAACAAACAACTCTATCGCACAGGTCACATAAACCTCCACTATAATGTTATTTTTTTATTATTCCTCATCTAGCTAGTTAGCTATTTGTAAGTTGCCATTAAAGACGTCCATAAGGCTTTCTCCGGTCCACAAGAGAAAGTATGAGAAGGGGTCTAGTATTGTGTTTCAAGGAAAATCGTGCGTGCTCCAAAAACGAGAAAAGTTTATGTGTTTTAATACAAATGGAGGTGTGGAGAGAAGCGTGGGTACAAAATTTATAAAAAAAAAAATACGTCCCTTGACTTCTAGTTATATACAGAATGCGATAATAACTACTTTTTTCGAGCACATGCCTAGACATGTTTTTCATTTACTAATAAAAGTCTACTTTTAATCAAATCCTAATACGAAAGTTTCAAAAAGAAAATCCTAATACGAAGAAAATTAAGGAGGAAGTAGGATTACGGTTACGGTTCGTTGTTAGAGATCCTGCAATGGAATTCGTTAGAGCTAGTCGGTGACCTGATACTAAGCTTCTACAGATGGAACATGTCGCCCTTTCACCTGACTTGACCAATAACCAAGCAAGTGATTGAAGTGTCAAGTTGCCACGCTCTGGATTAATCCTAGCTATATAGGCCCAGGCCACTGGCTTTCAGCAGCAATTCAGTAAACTATCATCACGAAGCAGTTTCTAAGTTTACCAGCTCTTCTCAGAAGCAGCAACGAACCAATTCAGTGGCACAAGACGCAGCAAACGGATGAAACAATTTCTCAGGACCTTCAACGATTTAGAGCAGAAACATAGTGGGTTGCACCTAATATTAATAAGTTCATAACAGCATCAACCATTGCAGCACTTAAGCAGCAGGTCCAGGTTCTACTTCTACCTGTCATCAAGACGACAGTTGCCTGTTTAACAGATCAGGCCATATACTACACTTGAGCAACAGCGGGTTAGCGGCTAGCTTCCTTGTGCCTACCTGAAACACTTGTCAAACAAAAATTTCCCCTTACCCCACACCTACAGACTAATTCAAAAGTAAAGGGGAGGCAAACTCATGAATGCAAAGCCTCCTATGTATGGAGAACTAAGTGGCTAATAGATTACTTACACTAGGCACTAGTCACTTGGCAGACATGGCGACCACTAAGCCGAAGAGCAGGACAACTACATTAGCCACGAAGAACCACTTCACAATGGCTTTAACCTGAAGCGCAATCGAATCAAGCCTTCGTAACCTTCTGAACCTTGTCCCCAGCACCAAGCTTGCCCTTGAAGCCCTTGACATCTTCAATGTTTGTCTTGAGCTGGGCGATGGCCAACGTCTGCGCCACGATCTCGTGCTTCAGATCCTCCACAGCAGCGACCATCTCTGGGTTGCCCACCGGCTCACCACTTAGTGTTGGGGTTTAGTCCCACATCGTGTACACATCGTGTAGCGATGTTGGGGGAGCACAACACCATCAGCGCTGGTATCGCCCCAAAGGCTATATCTTTTCGCCTTGATAGGCCTCATGGGACCTAGTGGAAGCACGCGGGCCGGCCGCAGCCGCTCCAAGAGATCGTGAACTCGATGGTCACCACCGGTTCCAACAATTGGTATCGTGAGCCGTATCCATGGTCGAAAAAGCTAAACCCAATAAAAATCTCTCGGCACACACATATGGGGCACCCGATGTGTGACTAAGGGGAGATTGTTGGGGTTTAGTCCCACATCGTAGATGTTGATGTTGGGGAGCACAACATATAAGGCGGAAGAAGCCCCCCACCTATCGAGCTAGTCTTTTGGGTTGAGCCAAACAAGGCCTTTATATGTTGCTCCGGTGGACCTCCACAGAGCGCACACTGCTGAAGCCGCAGTAAGCTAGCTCCAAGATCGAGAACTCGGTGGTCACCACCGGTTCCAACAATGGAGTATTAGAGCCAGTATCCATGGTCGGAAAAGCTAAACCCAATAAAAATCTCTAGCGGCACACATATGGCGGGGCACCCGATGTGTGACTAAGGGGGAGATTGTTGGGGTTTAGTCCCACATCGATGTAGCGATGGATGGTGGGGAGCATGAATATAAAAGCGGAAGAAGCCCCACATCTATCGTGCTAGTCTTTTGGGTTGATATAAGCCCCAAGGCCTTATATGTTGTAGCTCCGGTGGAACGGGACCTGGGGGAGAAGCTCGTGGTAACGACGGGCCGGGTCAGAAGTCACTCAAGATCGTGAACTCGGTGGTCACCACCGGTTCCAACACTCAGCACTGGTACGATTATCTTTACGTATTCCTCCTGGGTTTTGAAGCAGCAGCAGCCGCCGCCAGGCACCTGAAACAAATGGCAACGTATCATCATCAGCATTAGTGTTTTGGAATTTTCTTTTTCCCTGAGCAAGTTTGACTGTCAATTGCCAAACTCCCATATGCTCCCACTCCACAGTCCACACTGCTGAAGTAGGGGATACAATCCCCCTGATCCCAAATCGCAAAATTAAACCACCTCAGTCCCCTTCAATCCCTTTGGATTGGGGATCAACCGAACAATCCCTCAATCCCCTTGGACTGAGAATTTAACCGAACAAACCCTAGTGGTACTAAAACATTCACAACCAGATTATCTTCACCTCTCTGTGTAGTGTGAGAGACAGCAACCAACGAACCTTCCATCTACATGCAGCATGCTTTTTCGTATGCACCTGCCGATTTAACAGAAGCCAGCCCTTGATGGCGGTGGCAGCTTACAAGTTCACACACCAAAACTCAACTACTAAGATCTAAGGATTTCTTTTCAACATAGTCGGGGGCGGTTAGGCTCCGTTCGGCTTACCTTATATCCGGCTTCTTCTTTTTTTCCGGTCGGAACAGTATTTTTCTCTCACAACATTTCAGGCAGAACGATGTTTTCCAGCCACTTTCAACCAAGTTTAAGTTTCAGTAAGCCGAACGGGGCCTATGCGCAAGCCATTATTTGCTTTTCTGGTAAAACAAATCTCAGCCACTCTTCAATGCTACAGTGTAGCAACCAGAATCGAAAGCACATGTACAGTACCGTCGCTCATAGAGGCCACAACCAGATGACGAAGACACAAAAACGAGCGAGCACGGTTTGCTTACTCCGGCCTCGTTCTGGCGGCAGTTGGAAGGATTTCCGATTGTAGTTCCTCCGAGTTCCGGGATATTGTACTCCTCCCCGCCGCACTCAGGGCAGCGGATCAGACGCAATCCCGACCAAATGCCCAGGGGCGGGAGATCTGGTGTCGGCGTCCCGCCTGCCGGCGCCATCCCGCCGCTGAGCCTGCCGCTGCCCGCGAAGGAATCGCTTGAGGAGCGACTAGCTAGAGACCCCGAGGTGGGCGAAGGCCAGTGAGCCATTGGCGTGCCGGGCACGAGTGGTGACCTGTGGATGATGAGGGTGGTTTGAAAAGAGGATGAGGACGACTGGGAGTGGGCTGAGGCTGTGAGCCCTTGAAGCGAGGAGCGAGCGCCTGACGGTAGGAACGAATTGGTTGGTGCGGCAGAGTAAACGCCGACTTGACATTGCCTGGAGAGGAGAGCTCCGGTACAGGCGCGCTCGTCTTGTGGGAAAGGCGCGAGACTGGGGAGAGGGGCAGCAAGCCCGGTGTCCGCCAGGGGAGCTCCTTGGTGCCCGAGGCCAGCCCGAGGTGGCTAGAGGCGGACCGGACCGACGGCCCATCGAGCTGGCCCGTTCGCTGATCCGGGGTCAGCCGGCTGCTTTCCCTCTCAATTTATCAAACCAGCCGAATAATATTTTTTTCTCGTAAAATTCAGCCAGAACAGTGTTTTTTAGCTAAGTTTTAAACCAGCGAACGGGGCCGGTAACGATGACGACAACGACCAGTTTGTGCGGGTGGCTGAAGCCCTGGCACATGGATGGACGTGCATGCTAAAGATGAGATGTCGCCCTTTCACCTGACGTGACAAGTAAGCATGCTCGTAATTGGAGTGTCAAGTTGTCACGCTCTGGATTAATCCTAGGCAGGCTATATAGGCCCAGCAGGCCACTTCTTTCAGCAGCAATTCATCAGTCAACTAGTATCACGAACGAACAGTCCAAGTAGAGCCGGTACCCAGTACGTCGATTGGAGGGATGAAATTTGAGAAATTCCGGGACCCTAGCTGTTGGAAAAAGCCTGTTTGGTTGTTTTGGCCGGTTTGGCACTTGAAACGTTGCCACTCTGAGCCAATGACACGTACTGTAGGTCCATGCGATAAGAAAATGTAGTAGAAGACATTGCTTGAGGTGGTATAAGGCTCCCCACTCTTTTTTTTTAGAGAGAGAGAGAGCGGAGGTGTGAGACTCCAGATGGCTGCGCCAAATACACTAGCCCGCCCGCGCACCATGCTCCCATAATCCCATTTCCTTCGTTATTAGGCCTTTCTTAGCTGAACCGAAATCTTAGCCCATCCCGCAGATGGGCCCTACTAATATTGATCGTGATCACTGATCACTGTGCTCAGCTGCCAGCGCAGACCCTGCGGAGCCTCGCCGGAGACCGGCGGAGAGGCGAAGACGGAAGGACCCACCGGCGCCGCCGAGCCAGAGATGAGGAATAACCCAATGCCCAACCAACTTTTATACTACGCCACCTGCCTAGGGCTTGTTTAGTTGCCCCAAATTCCAGAATTTGACACTATGCAAAAAGAAGATTCCCCGTCACATCAAACTTACGGTACATGCATGGAGTACTATATGTTGACGAAATCAAAAACTAATTGCACAGTTTGGTTGTACTTTACTAGACGAACGTTGAGCCTAATTAGTCAACGATTGGACAATTATTACCAAATAAAAACAAAACGCTACAGTAGCTACAGTGCGCCCCGAATCCGGCGGTGCCGATTCGGTGGCCGAACTAAACGCGGCCCTAATTTCACGACGAGCTAGCAGCCGAGACGACGTAACGTACGCGTTTGCTGACTTGCGCACGTACGGCCGGCACCGCGGCTTCTCGTCTCCACACTCCGATCCGGTCATGTGGGCACGCTGTGGATCAGTTTGGGTTGGCCCCGGCAAGGCCTGAATGCCCGCAACAACCCTATCACACGCTTAGGGCTCGTTCGGCTGGTGCAAATACCAGCTGGAAAACACTGTTCTCGAATGAAAACACTGTTTACACTCTCACAAATTTCTTCAGATTCATCCAGATTCCTCCGAGCAAATAGGCTTAATCTTGACTTGTGCACTACATAACCTACTGACGTGGACAGCGTGGTGTCTCGCCTTAAAGCCCTGTTGCTGGACCTGCTACGGTACCATGGTCAGCTGACAAATCATTAGTACATCACACTTCGTTGTGTGAATAAAGAAGGGAAAGGGCAAAAAGAGACGTTAAAAAACGGGGGAAAGCTCTACGTCGCATACATATGTATGTATGTGTGAATTAGAGCATGTTTGGATCTATACTGTTCCTCTCTTCGCTCAAAAATTATACTTTGTTTTGACTTTTCTAGGTATATATACACATGATATCTAAATAAATAGAAAAACTATGAATTTAGAGAAGTCAAAATGACTTATAATTTGGGACGGAGAGAGAGAGTAATTGTTAGCTGCTATCAGGGAAAAGTAGCTAATATCATCTATTAGCGGGGCTATTAGCTGAAACCCTGCTTGGGTTCTCCAGCTAATTAATGGTCGTGTTGGTAGGAACTGAGCTTGGTTGTGGCAGCACCCATGATAGGAGATGCAATAGATCATTGAAACTACAGTCTGACCAGCCGTACTTAGCCTTCAGGATGAGTAGCTCAAACACAAAACGTAGCAATGTCCAATATGTCGGACAGCCCTTTTCAACACCATACACAGTCTCATTCGATGCTTTTGTCACCCTTTCTAAATTTTCTAGACCTTTCGAGCTATTTAGTAAAATATCTGGTCCAATGGTTCAAATCATGTTCTCCAAATCATCTTCATCTCCGACACGTGCTCCACCATCATTATTGGCACCACCTTCGTCGTTACCATCCCAACCACCAGCATCACCACCTTGTTCATTGTCAAACTCCGAATCCATTCGTGCATCAAGCTCTGCTGAATATTGAGACTGGGATTTTATGGTTTCGTCGTCGTATTTCTCCTCATCCTCGTCGTTAACAATAACCATTTCACCACGATGAATCCACACTGTGTAGTCCTCAACAAATCCTCGCATAATCAAATGTGATCTGATGATAGTGATCTGATGATAGTCACATCTGTCCATGCCATACATGTCTTGCAATCTTTATAAGGACAAATAATTGTATCCTTATTCTCTGTCAATGTCGTTGCATGCTTCTTTGCGGCTTCAATAAATTTATCCACCTCTTCACGGAAACCTGCATTGAACCTTAACGAATTATACATTCAAGAGTTCCTGTA